AATATAATATAATATAATATAATATAATATAATATTGATAATATTGATTATTGATAATAAAATGTGTTTTTCTTATCAATTATATTATTTTAACCGATCTGTAAGTAGTTACAGATGCAAAATCTTGTCTGCAGTTTACAGGTCCGGTAGCCGATAATTTACAGAGCCGGTAACTTTACCAAGCGTTCAAGCAACACCTAATTTTATTTACAGAGCCGTTAACGCACTTACAGATCTGTAAGTCGTTACAGAACGTTTATGCAACCCGGCCTAAGTCTCTAAAATAATAACTATAAATTGAATCATTCAATGTTATTGTCGTCGAAACCGACACAAAAACTCAGATTAATATACATGGTATATACGTGGTGATGGCCAACTGGTAATTATTTTTAGCGCAAAAATATTGTCTTTTCTCGGAAACCGACATCGCGCTGATAACGACGGTCGACGTCTCGACAATTAACAAATAATAGTTTGATAGTTATTGGTATTTACTATTTCATTTAATGTTACGTCTTGTTTCAAGCAACTCATATACATTACTACATTAGGTAACATTTTAATATTATTGTTAAGACGTTAACTTTGTGTACAACAACCTCGGACAACGAATTTTTAAATATTAAATGTAAGTACTATTTTATATAATTACCCATTTTATATTTATACTTATATTTATTATACCCATACGTAGTGGTGCCTATACTATACATTGATACTTGATTTATTTTATTATACAATTTAAATTAAAAATCAATTATTAAGATATATTTTGCGTTGTAGGTATGTCGTTTTCCTCAAAATCAATTCAAATTAATATTTATTAAAATTTGCTATTGAAGATAGAAAATGGATAAATTTATATTTAAGAGCAATAAAAATGAAGATATAAAAAATACTCCAAACATTGCTTTACAAAATAATGAAGTTCTTAACAAACAAATTTTCGGTGATGCAAATGACCCTGTAAATGAGATACCCGTTTCGAGATTAGAAAAAAAAGATAGAATTGACAAAGGTCCCTACCAACCAAAATTTGATTTTCCTAGAGCAATAATAGGCTCAAAGTATAGAAGTTTCCAAATCGAATGGTACAATAAGTATTCGTGGTTAGAATATAGTAAAGTTCTTGATTCTGCATTTTGTTTTTACTGTCGTGTATTTTGTTTAAACGATCCAGCAACAAAAGGTCATATTGATTTTGCTTTTATAAAAAAGGGATTTAAAAATTGGCATAGAGCAAACGAATGTTTCCGTAACCATGAAAAATCTAAAGGCCATCAACATAGCGTTTCTTCTTGGAGTAGTTATACAAAAGATAAATCGGTTGATATTTTGTTAGATGAGCAAAAGGAAGTGTTTATTTCAAAGCAAAATCAAGTTAAAATAAAAAATCGTCAGATAATGGAAAGGTTAATTGATATTGTTATTTGTTTAGCAAAAGGAGGTAGACCATTTAGAGGCCATGATGAGAGTAAAATCAGTATTGCACGAGGACTGTTTTTAGATTTAGTAGATTTAGTGTCGAAGTATGACCCTACTTTAAAAGATCATCTAACAAATGGACCCCAAAATGCTTTATACACTAGTGGAAAAATCCAAAACGACATAATTATCAGCATAAGCAACATCATATTACGAAAAATATCAAATTCCGTCCAGAACATTTGTTTCAATAATGGCTGACGAAACAAGTGATTGTGGACACCATGAACAAATGGCAATTGTTTTGAGATATTTTGATGATAAGCTTAATTCTCCAGTAGAACATTTAGTAGCTATTCGCAGACTTACATCTGTAAATGCTCAAGCTATTTTCAATGAGTTAAAAGTTGTTCTTTCCGTATTGAAAGTAGATTGGAAGAATGTATTATCGGTTTGCTTTGATGGCGCGGCAGCCATGTCAGGAAGTGTATCAGGAGTTCAGATGAGGTGTAAAGAATTAAACAGTAATATTGTATATGTGCATTGTTACGCACATTGTTTGAACCTAGTTTTAGTCGATGCTTGTACACTAGACAAAGGAAATAGATTAATTTTTGATTTTTTTGGGATTGTACAATTTATTTACACATTTATTGAAGGGAGTTGTTCACGACACGCAACTTTTGAAAAAATATCAAATGAAATCGGTTCAACATTGAGAACATTAAAGTCTCTTTCCACGACTAGGTGGGCTTGTCGCGCGGAAGCTGTTGCCGTGATAAAAATTAATTATTCAGCCATCCTTAGAGCTCTTACTGAAATTATTAAAACAACTAAACAAAGTGATGTTAAAGTTAAAGGAATTGGTTTATTACATCAAGTAAAATCTTTTAATTTTATATTCGGGTTAACAATGATGCACCCAATACTTCAATTAATTGTTAAAGTAAGTAAATTGCTGCAAAGTCCTAATATTAATCTGATTAATGCTATGGCCAGCATAAAGTCTCTTCGAGCAGCTTTTATAAATTTAAGAAATGAGACAGAGTTTCTAAACATTTTTAATGAAGCAAAAAATTTGTGCATAGAACTAGAAATAGATATTCCATTAGTTAATTATAGGTCAGTGGTATCTATATTTACCAAGACGTTTTTTATTTTTCCACGGAATAGATTTTATTATTTTATTTTACAACTCGGTTCAATGGGAAGTTTAATATCATTAAAAGTGTTAACCTGTGTTTCGAACGCCACAATTGTTATCATTCGTCTGTTTTCGCGCAAAATGTATTGAAGTGGTAAAATGTTTTACCAGTGATATCTCGCATGCTGTTTTCATTCTCGTGAACGTGATAAGTCAACTTATTTTATTAGTTGCACCCACGTCTGAAGTGTCAAGTCTTTCAACGGTAAGTTTTTATTTTACTTGCTAAATACTTAGCATAATTGTACGTAGTTAATAGATATTTATTCAATTGAAATACCATTTTTTTTACTTTTAATAAAAATTCATGATAAAATATTTTTTAACCTAATAAGTTTGAAATTCTGATTTGAACTACTCATAAGATTAATCAAATTGATTTTTTGATTTTTCAACTTACAATTTAGTTACAAGTAATAATATATATATAAATGAATACATAACATATGTGGCTTGGCAAATAATTGCACTTTTATCCAATATAATAGTCTCCGGGCACATTTTTGTTTCACCAATTTATATGATTATTATTAAAAAGTTGTTTACTACACATTTTTATGACCAAAAATTATGAAGTAACAATTATAAATTATGTTAAAAATATACTTGATGTTTATTGAAATATAATGAACTTCAATTAATTAATCTGTACATCATAATAGGTAATTAATGTTTAATGTAGATAA